ACATGTAAAATAAAATAATTAAATAATATTTAAAATAAATTAAATTAAATATATATAAATAAATTAAATTAAATAAATAGGTTTTATTTTTTAATACACCTGTATTGTAGTGCATCTCTTCTATATTTCAAAATTTTACTAAGGTAACCTCTGTTGTGTAACTAATAAAAAATGATACTTTGTTCTAAAAGCTAATTTATCAAGGCCTAAGAATTAGCAAAAAATTAAAAACTAGAACCCGAGCAACGCCGGGTCCTACGTGCTAGTCATTTCATTTTATTCGCTAACATCTTTCTTGACATGAAAATGCCTGATATGTTAGTCATTTAACCGAATACTGTATAAAAAAGTTAAAAAAAAAATAAACAGGAAAAAAATTAAAAATTAAAATATTCTAAAAAAAGTATTATACCTTAAAAAATAAAATATCACTTTAAAACGAAGTTTTCACATCAAGAAAATTCTGATACAGTATAAACTTGACTCCTGATCAGGAATCGATATTTAAGATCTCATGTAATAAAATAAACTTCAAACAATAAAAAAAAGGAAAATTAACGTAAAATTAGATTCTGAACTCTAAGTTATACATCTCGGATTAAAGTATTGTAGCTAGAGGTTCGATTAATGTTACCTATAATAATTGTATCACTCATACACGAGTATTTAAATGCTATCTTAGATTGTCGTTTTTCTTATTAAAAAGATGTATAACAAATTATTTCATAAACAATCTCATTTGAAAAGTAAAATAAAGAAGATTTATAACAAACCATTTCATAAAAAATCAACTAAAATAGACCCTTATGACCTTGGACACAGTTATCAGCATGAGATTGGGATTGAAAAAAATGAACGTAAGGCATTCTTTTATTAAGATGGGTAAAGCTAGAGTAATATTTCAAGTTGGATATTGTTACGATGAAGGAATTGGAGTTATAAGGCATTCATTTGTTATCAAAAGTCTGCAGATATGGGGCACGCTAAAGGAACATTTAACGTTATTTTCTGTTATGAAAATGGAATTGGAGTTGAAAAGGATGAATATAAGGAATTCATTTATTATCAAAAATCAGCAGAGATTGGAGACGCTGATGGAACATATAATGTTGGAAATTATTATCGAAATGGAATTGGAGTTGAAAAGGATGAACATAAGGCATTCATTTATTATCAAAAATCTGCAGATATGGGGAACGTTGATGGAACAAATAAAGTTGGACATTGTTATTATAAAGGAGTTGGAGTTGAAAAGGATGAAGATAAGGCATTCTTTTATTTTTTAAAATCTACTGATATGGGGCATCCCATGGGGATGAATAATGTTGCGCGCCGTTATCAATTTGGAGAAGGGGTTAAAAAAGACGAATATATGGCATTTTGTTACTATCAGAAAGCTATTGAAATGGGTATATTGTCACAATTTATAACCTTGGAGAATGTTATAAGAATGGAATTGGAATTAAAAGGGATTTAAAAAAAGCCTTTGAATTGTATTTGAAATCTGCCAAACTTGGCATAGTTACCGGAATAGAAAAGGTTGGACATTGTTATCGAAATGGTATCGGAACAAAAAAGGATTTAAAAGAGGTCGAATATTGGTTTCGAATGTAAGCTTTTTTTTTTTTTTTAAGAAAAAATATATGATATAATATATATATATAGTACTAACTATTTAATAATTATAATTAATAGGGAGAAAGAAAAATTTAAAGGCATTTTCATTATTTTGCTTCATTTTACTGAATGTTTATATTTATTGATTTATTATAAACAGAAATGAAGAAATTTTCATATTCTGATATTGATGACAAAGTGAAAAAAATATTGGATGACGAAAGGTATCAACTATTATGGATTCCATATAATAAATTTGAAAATGTTAAAGAGATCGGAAAGGGAGGATTTGCAACTGTTTATTATGCTAAATGTCTAATTGAATATAAAGAAAATTATGATAAATATTCGTTCGCGCTTAAAAAAATTCATAGTCAAGATTTTTTTGACGAGGTACTGTAAATTTATTATTGAGGTTTGTTTAATGTTTGGATTTATGATTAATAATATATTATTTTATATAGTTGAAAGTATTTTGCGAGATCAGATATAAAAACCCAACGTTCTTAAAGTGCTACGGATTATCAAGAGATGATTCAGGAAATTACATTCTTATTTTTAAATACGCAGAAAAGGAATTTTACGTAATAATCTTCACGAAGTATCGCAATTGAAATGGGATGAAAAATTAAATTTATTAAATTGTATAACTTCAGATCTTGAAGCAATTCATTCGCAAGGATTAGAACATCGAGATCTTCATAGTGGTAACATTTTGCAAGATGATTTGGACAATGCTTATATTACAGATTTAGGACTTTCTAATACTAAAAAAGGTGTGTGTGGGGTTTTGCCTTATATGGCGCCGGAAATTTTACAAGGAAAACCATATACTAAAGCAGTTGATATTTATGCTTTGGGTATCATAATGACTGAAATATCAACTGGAAGAGCAGCTTTTGATGTTTATAATTTTGATGAACTTGCGATAAAAATTTGGGATGGATTTCGACCAGACTTTATATCTAGAACTCCTGATTGTATATTGAATTAGCAAAACGATGTATGGATTCAGACCCGGAAAAACGACCTAATATCCAATCTATTAATGGTTTAATTACCCATTGGATTGAAGAAATAGAAAACTCTGATGATGAAAATAAAATAAAAAACAATTTCTAGAAGCTAATAAAATTAAACCTAGCGAATCACTGAAACATCCGAATCATGTTTATATCAGTAAATCTATCGATATACGAGAATATATCAGAAAGTTATGATATTCTTGATGATTTATCTCTTGGTATATGGAGCAGGTGCAGACAAATTTACCTGCAAAAAATTATATAATATTTTTAAAAAAATTTTTTATAGAATCATATTTAGTATTTTAATATTGAAAATTTCTAATTTTACACATAGTGTAGAGTGTCAAACATTATAATTAATCGAAACTATGTCTACAAATTTGCACAATCCTAACCTTTAGTAATACACAAATATTTTCCAGGTGCTGAATGATTTCATCAGAATTTTTTGCGAACCAAAATTTTGTTCTTGCAGCTTTTAATTGAAATTTTCATTTTCTCAATTTTGGGTTGTAAATGTCCATTTTATCTATTATACTATAAATTATTATGTATTTAATGATATAAATTAGATACACAAACTTATTTATCCGTTATTTATAACACTTTTTTTTATTTATTTGATGATATTAATAAAGACAAAATTACAAAGAAAATTTTTACATTAATAATCAAAATTTATACGAATGAATACTTCTTATGTAGTGATCGACAGCAAAATATAAAAATTGATCTACATTTCGGAAAAAATTTATCATTATAGATTTATTGGCCGATTTCACTTAGTTTTGATTAATTATAATGTTTGACACCCTAACATAGTGTATAGTACACGGGGTATTGATTTGTCAAACCAATTTGTATAAAAAAAAATTAAATGCTGATTAAGATTAGGGCTGTGACATATATTACGTAATATTCCATTTACTATGAGGGCTCCCTCACATAAGATCCAATATGATTGGCCAATTTAAAAAAATCTGATTATACTAATTTTCTTTTTGTAACATAAGATATTAATATAACATACGCCTAAAATATTACGTAATAAATGTCAGCACCCTTAGGGTAAGATTGGATTTGGGATGAAGGCGGAAGAGTAGTTTATACCAAAATTTCACAGGGAATTTGTTTTATTAATTCGAAAGGTGGTTTCATAAGCAAAATATTGGGTTATAAATAATTTTTTAAAGAAAGCAATAATTTTGCATTACACCTGATCGTGCAATTTGATTGGCTTTCTATATTATCCGGGTATATACACATAGTGTTTAAATATAAATTGCCTTTTAATGTTTGACCTCCAAAATTATTAATAAAATTTTATTTAAGTTTTGATTAGTATAAAAAATTAAAATTATTAAATATTTATTAAAATTAAATTATTATTGTATAAAGTTTTAAAATTATAATTTTGAACAATTTTTTTTATAATATCTCATGATCCAGTAATTACAGTAGATAATGATTTGATACCATTTGAATTGTCTTAGTTAGACGAATCGAATGATACCAAAATCGTTAAATTTCAAATCACTGAATCACGAGATATTGATTGCTAAATAATTTTTATAAAACTTGAATTATCTTGATATCTAGTGATCAAAATCTAATGATTTTGGTATAGTTATCACAATGAGACAGTGATGGTAAATGACCTGAAATGATCCAAATAACCCAAATTACAAATGACCAGTCATTGGGTCATTTCAAAGGTGAAATGACCTAGTGGGTCATTTGAATTTGATTGGTGGATCGCGCAGGGGCATTAATTCGAATTTTGGCCCGAATTAAGCTTAATTTAGGCCGAAATTCGAAATCATATCTCTGCACGTTATTTTGCATTTATACAGTACATTATAATTAATAAATATCTGCATGTAAGTATCAGAATTTTTTTTGTTTTTGTTTTTTTTTTACTACTAGGTTATTTTTTTGTAGTGCTATTTCATAGTTGCTGTCGTCGTTGGTGCCGCTGTTGGTGTTGACGTTGTGTCGTTGTTGGTATCACCGTTGGTATTGAAATTAGTGTCGTTGGCATCATCATAATTAGGTTTTAGTTGAGGTGTACTTGTCATGTTTTTCATGTTTCGCTTTTGTTTTGCCACGTTATTGGTGTTATTGTATAGTAAATAATGACATAGAGGTTTTTACAGTCGCACTTTTGGACTGTTGTTTCGTCATTTGCTGGTGAAGTTGGAATTGGTGCTTTATCTTGATAAGTATAGACTTTTTTTTTTGCTATATTACAATTTTTCTTTCATTAACCAGTTTTCTTTTTGTAGCTGTCATTTCTTCGTTTGCAGGTGGGTTGTATTTGATATTACTGTTTCTTTAGATCATTATTTGTCGGTGATGTCGTATGTAGTTTGCCCTTTTGTGGAGCCATTGTTTGCTAGTGATCTGGTATCACCTATTTTCTGGAGGCGTCGTTTGCTGGTGGATAAAATTGTGCGTAGTTTATGAAGCATCGTTTGCTGGGTAGCTATGTTAGTAAGTTATTTCATTACTTTGTTGTTATCATTGTTTTACAGTGTCTCTCTATTAGTATTATTGTTAAACAGTATCATGCTACATGTTATTGTATCCTAGATCGTGGATTCATCTCTTGACAATTAACAATTGATGAGTAGCCTTGGAGTTTAGTTTAGGGTTAGGAAGAATGATTATATTTCAGTTAGGTTAGTTTTAGATAAATTGTATTATTGCGATGATTAGTAGACTTGGAGTTTAGTTTAGGATTAGGGTGAACAATAAGTTAGTGGTTAGGGTAGGTTTAGATAGAATGTAATTTTGCGCGATGATAAATTTTAATAAAAATTTGTATATATCGATATAAGTAATTATGATGTAATATTCTTATTAATACTGTAAACCGATTTTGTATATTATTGGTTGATATGCGGATCGTGTAGGAATTCCCCCCGGTTAAAATTAGCAAGTTAAAAATTACACGATCGATTTTCATGACCAATAGGATGTCAATTCTATATGTGAAATGACCAATGACTCAAATGACCGTGGTCATTTCCAAATGACTGCAGTCATTTGGTCATAAGTCATTTCCAAATGACCCAAAATTTGAATGACCTCAAATGACCAGTCATTTTGAGGTCATTCAGGGTTATTTGAAAAATCGGCAAATGACCAGGCCATTTACTATCACTGCGATGAGATGATTCTAAAAAAAAGCACTAGATTTCAATTCTTGGATTGTGAGATATTTGCAAAAAAAAAAAAAAAGATCAAATTGACCCTAGCTGCTGCAACAAAATTGTCATGGCAGATTCTTAGCCAATCAAAATCGAGATCTGCTGTATTAAGCTGCGCCACAAATCGTTTTTGTTAATACGTATCTCTCATTAATACGAATTGAATGGACCAAAATCGTTCACTAGATATTGAGATTTTTGAATTTTTGTAAAAATTATTCTGAAATTTAACAATTTTGGCACCATACGATTTGACTCATTGAGACGATTCGAATGGTATCAAAATCATTAAATTCTGTTCACTGGATCATAAGATATTATTAAATTTATCAATATTGCTTAAAATTACAACTTTGTACACAACTAAAACAAATAAATTCTCTGATAATAAAAATTGTAATATTGTAAATTTTATAATTATATATTACTAAACACTATATTTTAATTTAAATATTTTTAGGAGATCTTTCCTATTTATTTTTTAGTAATTTCATAAATAATAAATGTTGCAGACAAATTTGCCTGCTTAACGTATTAAGAGAAAAAATGAAGTATAATATTGCAGTACTCATGATAATAAATAGTTAATAGTACTTATTGATTGTTAAAGAAATTTTTAAACAAAGATTTCTACAAACATTCTTTACTTTAATATGATAAAGTTTGGTTCTACCATTCACCCTAATTTGACCAACAAAAGAGTTCACCATCAAACTATCTTTTCTTTTCAACCAAACTCCTTAAATCATCAAATCTCTTTGTCTATAAGTACAAAAAAAAGTAACGCCAGTTCTTGTAGAAAAAGAAAAAATTACATATCAGATATAGGGCCGCACAAAGTTGATTTTTCAATTTGCATAACCTGCTGACTCAATTTTTCAATTTATTTTTATTTTTATTTTTTTAAGTTTCAATTGTTCCAATTATTTAATTTTTACTATTTAATTTTCATCATAAATTCTGGCATCACCCGATGGTGATTTTAATTTTTCAGAATTACCTGATAAGTTCTTCAAAAGTTTAAGTTAAGAGTTGAACAAAACTCTGAAATATACATAGATAAGTTAGGTTTTAATTTGCTTATTTTTGATTCTTTTTATGCAGATTATTTTTATTTATAGTAATTAGTTTGCATATTTTTGACTTTTTTTGCAGATCTTTCTATATTTAGTAATTTTGTAAAACCTTACCCTTCATATATATTTTGGGATCCTGATTGGACCTGTTTAAAAAAACTTTACTTGGTTAACTGTCAGTTAGACTTCTTAATTATCCAGATATATCCAAGTTATCCGGATTACCCAGATACACAAATAAGATCACAGATAATGTGTAACTTATAATGTAATTAATCAGAGTTGGAATCATTATTATGCAATTAATTAATGAATTCACAAAGGTTGTGGTATAAAATTAGAAACACCTCTTGAAAAGCATATGCTGGGTTGATAGTGTATTAATTATTCAAAATAATTTGTATAATTGTAATTTATTTTCAAAGATATTTAAAGATTATTTCTACTTGGTTCATGTTCTTTTATATTGAAAAGTACAATTTCCTTTGTTTTTTTTGTCTATGATATTGTTGCCCAGTAATTATTCTACCTGGATAGGTTTACCTGAGTAACAAATATTTTAACTAGATATCCATTGTATCTGTGGGTTACCCAGGTAGCCTTTACCCAGGTCCAACCCTTAGATGAATGAGTTGTGATTATTGTTGATAAAACCATGGATGATTGTGCTAGAAGTGTAGTCAATATTTTATTCAATTATCAAAATTTAACTAAATTAGTGTTAGTAGATTTTATTAATGAGATTAATAATACAATGGTAGAACAAATTATTCTTAAAACTTTAATTGAATGGTCAATTCCATTTAATGCTTAACTTTTTTGTCTTAGATTCAGCATCATATATAAAAAAGTGCTTTTAAGTTATTTTAACCCTAACCTGACTTTAAAAAAAAACAAAAGGCCCAAAAAATTTTTAAAATTTTATAAATAGGTTATAAATTCAGCATCAGTCATGATATTTAATAAAGTTTATAAAAAGCATACTAGGGATCTGCAAATGCCCATACCAGACAAATTAGGCATAAGACCAGACACTAGTACCTTAAGCCGTGCCTGTGTTCCTAGACACAAAGTTGTCCAGCACATTATAGGTACGGGCAGACACTATAAGGGCACAGGCACAAATGTGGCAGGCATTAAGTGACAACCTATGCCTGGCACTTTACATTAGAGTTGGCTCCGAAACCCTTTGTGCCAAAATCCGAAAGTTTCGGGTTTCGGATTATAGCTTCCGAAACCTTATCCGAAACTAGAAACCTCATCCGAAACCCGAAACCTCATCCGAAACCCCGAAACTGCAGAACTTCTATTTTAATACAGTATTAGGCAATGCAGATAATAAAATTGCTTTTCGTTACCCGGCCGAGTAGCTTTTTTAGAAAAGTTACAGATGTTTTCATAAATTCTGGGACAACAAAAAATTTCCGATGGCCGAACTCGAAACTTAATTGAATTCGGTCATCAGAAATTTTTCGTTGTTCCAGAATTTATGAGAACAGCTGTAAAATTCGTCTATATAAAATTTTTATTTTTGTATGAAAAAAAATTTATAAAACTTTTTTTAAATTATTCATCGCGACGCATCACCCTATAATTAAATCAAAAACAAAACAAACAACAATCGGGATAAAGCTTAGGGTAGGGAAATAATTAGATGATCTTTTAAATTCACAAGGAATTTTTTTCGTTAGGATAAAAAGGGCAGTTTCATGGGCAAATTAAGAGTTAGAAGCGATTTTTTTAAAAATCGTAATCGCTTCGATTTTATCGTTACACTTGATCATGCGGTCAACTAAGGTTTCGGATTTTCGGATTATAGTTTCGGGAATTTCGGGGTTTCGGGTTTTTTTTAAAAAATCTGAAACTAGTTTCGGATTAGAACCTTCCCGAAACTAGTTTCGAGGCCAACTCTACTTTACATCTATACTTATGGAAGTTCTTAGTCACATTTTTGTATTTATGCCCATGCCCGTGCCTAGGGTTGTTAATGGAGCACTCCGTTGGCTTTATTTAATAGTAATACTCAGAGTATTATTATTAAAATGAAGCCAACGGAGTGCTCCATTAACAACCCTACCCGTCCCAACTAGAGTTGCTGGTGAAACTAATTCATTTCACCAGAAAACTGGTGCACCATCGGTGCACCGTTTAAGATTAGTTTCATCTATAACTCTAGTTTCACCATCGGTGCACCATTGAAGATTAGTTTCACCTGCAACTCTAGTGCCAACCCATGTCAAACTTTTGTGCCTGTGTCCATGCCGTGCCAAATTTTCGTGTCCAGATTTTGTGCCTGCGCCTTGCCTATGCTTTTTGTTAGGCGTGGGCATGAACCCGGACTGCAGATTCCTAAAGCATACCAAAGATTATCATAGTAATTGTCAATAGATAGTTATTTAAGAAGCGAAGATAAAAAAAATTTAATAATTCGATTAAAAGAATTTGTCTTAGATATTAATATTCTTGAATAAATTAATCATAAGAAGATTCGAAAAAAATTTTCATTTTAAAATATTATAGTTAGCTTATCTACCGCACAATAAGATCATATGGTTTGCTGTAATTGTAACTTGCCAAATGCTATTATAGCTCATTTGGATACTATTGCACTTTATATTTCATAACAAGTCAAATTCATATTCTTTTCATTATTATCATTGAAATTTCTATATTATTTCGTCACCAGTATTCAAAAAAGCTATTTCTGTATTAAATAATTTATGTACAGTATATTGGTATAGAAAAATAACTAATTTAAAACAAGAAACTAAGATCTATATTAATTTTATTGGTAAATACTGCACATGTGAATCCAGCTTAGTTAGCATAATGCAAACTAATAAATAAATAGATAATTAAATATTTAACAAAAGAAACGTCTTTACAACAAGACCTTATTACAATATCTAAGACGTGAAGTTTTCATAAAAACTCTTAGTGAATACTTTTTTACTTCAAAATTAAGTTGATTAAAAGGATTTAATGAAGTTATAATAAATCTCTACCAATACTTTTACTTATACTAAATCAAACAATGCTATTTCTCATTTTAAAGTAAAAGATATTTTAAATTATTGCACTTCTTCCTGATTACCATTAATAATTAAAATAAGTCAGGGTAGTATTCATTAAAAATGCCTCCGCCAATACTTTTTTTCCTTCGTCACCGATCTTATTAAGACTAAAATCCAAAGAAGTTAAAGTAGTATTTTTGCGAAGAACATCAGATAATGCTCTTCCTCCTTCAAAACCAATTTCATTTCTATTAATATTCAAAGAAACCAAAGTATTATTTTTGCAAAGAGCATAAGTTAAAGCTTTTCCACCTTCATCACCGATCTCATTATAACTAATATCTAAAGAAGTCAAAGTATTATTTTTGCAAAGAGCATAAGCTAAAGCTTTTCCACCATCATCACCGATCTCATTATACCTAATATTTAAAGAAGTCAAAGTATTATTTTTACAAAGGGCACCAGCTAAAGCTTTTCCACCTTCATCACGGATCTCATTACCACTTATGTTTAAAAAAGTCAAAGTAGTATTTTTATAGAGAACGTCAGACAATGCTTTTCCTCCTTCGAAACCAATCTGATTAACATTAATATTCAAAGAAACCAAAGAAGTGTTATTGAGAAGAGCCGACGCTAATACTGATCCTCCTTCAGGGCCAATTTGATTTCCATCAACATTTAAAGAAATCAAAGTATTATTTTTGCAAAGAGTATAAGCTAAAGCTTTTCCACCCTCAACACCGATTTGATTATAGCTAATATTTAAAGAAGTCAAAGTAGTATTTTTGCAGAGAGCATCAGATAATGCTCTTCCTCCCTCTAAATCAATCTGATTATCTTTAATATTCAAAGAGGTCAAAGTAGTATTTTTACAAAGAGCATAAGCTAAACATTTTCCACCTTCATCACCGATTTTATTAGAACTAATAACTAAAGAAGTTAAAGTATTATTTTTACAAAGGGCATCAGCTAAAACTTTTCCTCCTTCAGGATCAAGCACATCATTATGAGTAATAGCGTAACCAAGCCACTCTTTTGTAATTTTAAAACATTTAATTCTATCGCCAGTTCGTAAAAGCATTGAGATCAACAAACGATTGATAGTTTTAATCATGTACATTCCATTTTCTTCAAATTGGTTGAAAAATTCAATGATGATTTCAAATAATATATATGTATTTATATGCAAATATGTAATATATTTTGTATATTCAAATAATGGTTTTGGATCATTCGGTAGCATTATATTGAATGGAATTAAAAAAGCTTGTTCCTCAGTGTTTAACAGTAATAAACATGTTCGTATAAAATCTTCATTAATAGATAAATCTTCTATTCTGCTCCACAATATCGGTACAACATGTCTACACCATTGACGGTTTACAAGAAGGCACGACAATTGGCATTTACGATCAAGGTATTTTAATATTTCAAAAAAGCATTCACTAGGTAATGTTACCCCCATTTTGTGTATGCTATTTATTGAAATTTGGAGAGTAATTTGAGTTTTGCCAAATTATACCTGATCTAGTTTCGTTCAAATTATTTGTGCGTGTTATACAACCCAAAAAAGGAAATTCAACTTAGTCAAACTTCACGATGATCCCTCGTACGACGTGAAATATATTTAGTAAAGAAGTACAACAGGAGGGAACGTACCTAAAAATAGAACAGGTTACACAATTTATCAAAGTCGTAATTTATACAGTTTAAAGTACTTTTTCGGAAGTCTCGGGTAGCCCATCTTGCCTATAAAGAGTGCATCGGTTTCTTGGAAACTTAAAGTTCTTGCGACGGCGCATAAGAATATTTAGTGAATCCAACTGAATCCAACAATTTTTATTATAGTCAACCATGTCTGAAAATAAGCTTTGTCTTGAATGCCCAGCTACCGAATCTTCTAGATTTCGACCATTAAGTGAGCCAAAATGAAAAGAAGTAGTAAGTAAAGGTCTAGTAAGAGAAAACTGGAAAGAAGGTATTGTTTTATGTAACGCTTGTTATATGAGACTTGAGAAGAGGTGTTAAACGATCTAATAATGCAATTGATGAGTTAGGATCTAACAAAAAACTTGAGCTTTCCGAAGCCATTGAAATTATGGCAAATTTTTTTTATGATAGGGAGCATAAGAAAAAAGAAAGCACTATTTATTCGTTTGAAGAAATGCAAAAATTGTTAGAAGAATATGATTCTAATCTTAAATATTTTTTTGAGCAACTTTATTTAGCAGCTCGACCGTCCAAGCGCACCAAACAGACGATAGATTGTATGAAAAGAACAATGGTTTTCATTTGTTATCTGCTTGCTTCTCTGAACAATTCTAAGGTTAACTCCTTTAAGTTTGATATTGCATATTATATAGATTCTGCCAGAACAAATAATGAAGGTTTGAACATATTGACGAATCTTGGTGTGACTACTACGTCAAGAGCAGTAAATCAGCATAAAAAAAGAATATCTAATTCCCATGAAAAATATGTGGAGAATATACTTGTTCAGTATTCAGAGAATGCACTTGTGCTAAATATTGATAACTATCATAATATTCATACCCCACCACTATGATTACTTCCAAGGCAACAAGTATGGCGACGATTTTAGTGAACCCGTGCTTAACACCCGCAATAACATACCATAGAATTATTAATCCGAAGTTTCTAGATAGCAGTTTGATTATGAGGCATCTTGATAATCGGTTTATTGTAAATCTTGGGATCTTATACTACAATCGTATTCGAAGTACAGAAAAAGCGTGTACTGATAAAGAGATGATAAATAGACTAGTAATGCACAGTTACAATAACAGACTTGAAGAGAAAAAAAACGATTGGCATATCCACAATTCTGTTCTAATTGATTTTATTGAAAAAAATTTAAAAAGTATTAATGAATATATTAATTCTCTTCAAATTGTATATAACCAGGAGCCAATACAAGTATACCTTTCTGATTATGCAGTTCCCGTTGTTGCAGACTGGCCGGGCCAGTACTTTATTCGTAAAGCTATTGCACAGAGACTCCTTCTTAATAACGAAACCATCCCACAATTTATTACGTTGTTCTTGCCAATTATGGGGCCCCTCTACGTGTTTCTTAATGCCTGTGAACTTGTTTATAAGAAGAATTCATCTTTATTTATTGATATTTATAAAGGCATTTTTGGAGAAAAAAAAAATCCCAGTAAGACACCATGTCCATGGAGAATTGCTTTAATTCTTCATATCGTACGTATGGCATGGTTTAATATTGCTAATACTGTTTATTCGAAATTTGGTTTTACTTGTAAAAACATCGAATTTTTATATCTAACCGACTTATTAAGTAATTTAGTTCTACTAGTTCTTGACGTTTATGCTGTGCATCATCAGGAAGGAGATTGGCCAGCTTATAAGGAGGCATACATGCGCTGTTGGTCTGATTTTTTTCTCTGATTCGATCGAAAAAATTATAAGCATGCTCCTTTAATGTTTTTCTCTGATGTTTTTTACTGGATGAAGATTGATCATCCAATAATTGATATGATTACTAACTATTTGGCTTCTCTTAGTGATTATCCTGTAGAAAATGCTCATAGTATTATTCGAAGATGTACTACCAAGTTCCTTACGGGTGAACAATTATGAAAGGAAGCACACTTCATTTTTTAGCAACAACATTATAACGCTTTTCAACAAAATTTCGTCCATTCGGTGAAATATCCATATACACCAAAACAGTTAAATATGCTTTCTTAAAAGTGTTCTGTATGGCTTTTAGAAGTATTTGCCAAGGTGTATTGAAATCGTGACAAGCAGCTTATTGTTAAATCTTTGACTGATGGTATCAACATGTATCAACTGCCCTCGCTAGATTACGAAGTGACAGATTGTCACCTTCCAAGAGGCTTCGTTACTTCTAAGAAACCAAATACGTCTGTCTTATATGATTCAATTTATTGTGATCAAGCTTATGATCAATATAATGGCAGCGTTTTGGCGTATGGGCATGGGTATCATACTTATTGCTTACAAATGTTTCAATTTAAATGCTTTATATGTTTAGATTATCTTCAAGCAGAGGCTAAGAAAAATATTGATGCACTAAAGGTAAATATGACTAATAAATTTGTTGAAAATGAAATAATCGACAATGTTAGTGAAAATCCAGTTTACGAAGAAGAAGATATGAGCAATGCAGATAAGATAAATGAAGAAATCACAGAGGATTTATTAAAATATGTAACAAAAATTTTTTTAGAATTATAAAAATTTAATAAATATATTTATATTACTTAATTTTGACATAATTTCTGTAAATACTATTATATTAATTTAAAAAATGCTAAATTTGATGTAAAATTGATGTAATTGATGTAATTTGATGTAATTTGATTGGTTATTTTTCATGTGACGCTTATTATTTTAATTGGACGATCGGCAATTATGAAAATTTGTGTAACAATGGACGTTCCCTCCTGTTAGCAAACGATTTCTTCTAAGCGCTAATCACTGATTATGTGACAATTTAAAAGTTAATCTTTATCGTTATCTTTAATTATTTGTGGACACAGAATCACGATCTTAGATAAGTTAATCAGGATATCAAATATGATCTATTATGATCTGTGACCACATGTGTAAATAACGAATTGAATTATTTATTATTCTGAGAAACCAATGCGAATCATTGGCACTTAATAATTTCTTGCTTTCCAGACAAATCTTATTCATATTATATCATATTATCCAATTCATCACACCATAACTAAAAGTGCCTGTATGAAGTAAGCTTTTTTGTGGCAAGACTTTGAATTCTTGTCCGTGGCATCACCTCATACTAATGCTTCTCTTTACTTGTTCTTATTGCAAAATCGAATCAGAGGAGAAAATTCAAAATCGGAAATCATGACAGAAGTGGCTGGTGGTAACTTATCTATGTACTGCTTTCAATATTCAAAAAAAAAAACTCTTATTCAAGCAATCTTAAATTTACAAATACAAATAGCTGGGGGTGAGAAGCCAAATCCTCATCGCCGTTATGCAGTTTTGACCGATGCTTCATTACGTATCCGAAAGAATCTTATGCGACAGATAGAATCGGATGTTGAAAGGGACGAAGGTTCATAGTTAATTTTTGTCACTATCATTCTGAATCGAATGTTTAGAATTACGGTGACTTAACGGTTAAACTTTCTTAATTAGACAAGACGCGAACACCAGCAGAGATAATACATGATGTTTTAACTTGTATCCAAGATCGAGCAGAAGAACCTTCAACGCGCGTCGAAAAATTAGGGAGCTTGGTACGATTAATAAAAAATCACGAAAGATTAAAGTATACATATGATGTTGAACCTTTTTTACGAGGGTACGTCGTTAAAAATATATCAAAAGTTTATCAATTTGGTTTTCCATAATGAATATCTTACAAAATTCTCGATTAGATTGAGATTTTGTGTATCGGATTCAGTGAAGGAAGTAAGAATAGCTGGGTATCGTGCATTACGATATTTGATCGCAGATGTCACCACTCTAGAAAAAATCATAAATTTACATTATGAAATATTTATTATGAGGTAGCGTTTATAAAATTATTATAGTAATACTTGTCAAATTCATTAAAATTTATATGGGTTTTTATATTATTGATATAGGTCTTTGGCAAAAGATCCGCGTGTATGTAATGATGAGCGCGAACAGGTACTAAAAATTATACGAACTTTTGCTGATGTACCAGGCGGAACAAAATATATACCGCTTGGTGTGTTACGATCTATTGTTTCTATAGCTGAACTTCCAGATGAGAAATTACGAAACATATGTTTAGAAACATTAGCAGAAATAAGTATGAATAATATTTTTAAAAATTTTATTTAAATAGGAATGTAGACTTATTAAATAAAATCTTTTCATTAGTGATTCGTGAACCACAATTAATAACTTATTGTGGTGGGATGAGAGTAATATTGCAAGCTTTAATTGATGGTCCTTTGGAACTTTCGGAATACTTAATGATGGCACTGCTATATGTAATAGATATGCCAGAATCTAGAGATTGTATAAGACCTGGTGTGGATTTAGAGGTTCGAAAGTTTTTTATATTTATATATTTATACAGTCAGACCTCCCTAAATGCAACTCGTTGGGACAAAACTTTTGATGGCATGTATTTAGAGAACAATAAAATTGCATTTATGGAGTCAGAAATATGCTTGGGAAGGTCTGACTGTACATTAGACTGTTTAATAATTTGCGATGGTAAATGTTATTTTAGATTGTTCTCTCAGGATTTACTGATGCATGCAACAAACGACCAAAATTTGACCAGCAGATAAGAGCTAGTTCAAGAGCTATATCTGTTCTGTTGAAGTCTTGGACAGGAATTATATATCTATGCATGGATAATAAACAGGCAATAAGGTCCATTGTTGAAGCACTAAGAATAACATCGGATGAAACGCGGGTCAGTAGGTGTCAGATTTATTTACCATTTATAGTTTATCTTAACTTTTTTATTGATAAAATTTTGAACTGTATATGACCAAGCGTTTCTTATTCGATTAGAACTTTTTTTGACAATAAATAGGAAATCATGCTTGATATGTTTTTTAACATTTTTCGAATCAAGATACCACACTGGTATCCAAGCTTTTTATCTGGTAAAAGGATCACTGGTATGTTTCAAATTATTATAATTTCTTAATTAGATTATAATACGTACATGCTAATATTTTAAAAAAAACTTATTTATGAGGTAGTATATGGACTGTTTACACCTGAAAATAATAATAATGGAGAGCTACCGCCTCCCCCTTCTTCATGCCAAGACAGACTGAATTTATTGGACCATCACTTGGTCATATTGTTAGACATCTTTATTGATGCTGGACTTCTTGATGTATGTGAAACTATAAGGCAGTGACAAATATGTTTTAAACTATTAACATATAAATTTCAATAAATAGGCTTTGGTTGAGATTATCGAAGATAAAAATCAACATAACGCACGCAAAGCTACTCTTTTTATTGGTGAAATTCTTCAATTATCTAATCGGTTATTACCTTTGTCTCGTTCGATGAGAATACAGGTAAAGCATGGAAGGGTGATTTTTACATAGAAACTGATTCTTTCAATTATATAACATCGTATTGTTATTAGTCTCTACCTAGACTCTTTAGATTAGCCACAAAATTTGACGATGAAATTGTACGTCACAGTGCTACTGCAGCACTTTCACATATTGATAATTTGAATCGTACGCGAAACCGTTTTCAACCAAACATTGGAGAATCGGATGACTCATCTATTGGTTCACCAAATCGACAAAGGCGTAATGCACGCCAAGTTGAAAATGTAAAAATTAAAATGGGCATACAAATTGATGACGTCCATTTTAGAAACATGCTTTTAGATACTCAGGTAAATATAGTAATTTATTTTCTCGTTTTCAAATTTGATATGCAACCTAATTAGTTTAAATTTAGGTTCTTAGTACTAAAGATTATCTCAAGTGGAACTGGGAAACTACAATGGAATTATTACAAGGACCATTACTAAACCCTCGTCGACTAGAGGAAGCAATAAGGTCCAAATTTATGAAACGGTTAATTGGTTTTTTCAGACCAAATAGCAGACGGTTCTCGGAAATTGAAAAAAACATGGTATTGATATAAACAATTGCCCAATTGAATTCTTTTTTGATGAACATTATGTTTATTTTTACTTTTCAATTCGACAATTGGAAATTTTATATGTTAGGAAACCGAACGTTATGTCCAATTAGGCTGCACGCTTATAACGACTCTTCTTGCGAATTATGATGGGGTCAAATACTTAGAAAGCAACAAGTTCTTGAGGCAGATCTCAGATAATTTAAATCAGCTTGTTCCACCGGTACTTGATGAATGTTTTGTTTTTAAATTTGCTTAGGTGCCTACTCACAAATATTTTTATTGATATTAACTAGATGAATGCTAGTTTTGAATCGGAGTTTTTTTCCAAAGAACGAATTAATAATACATTAACAAGTGGCTATTTCACGATGATAGGAATACTTAGCAAATTCAAAGATGGAGTCAAGTAAACTTTTTTCTTTTTTTTTTTTTTACTTATTAATTATATCCTAATATAGTTGTTTATTAATATTGTAATTACAATATGAAGGCTACTGGAGAAATTTAAAATTTTTAACACATTCTACCAATTAAGCGAACTGAAAAGCCGGGAAGATTTGATAAAAACCGTAATTACAAACCTGGACTATAATTTGTGCGTTGAATTTTTGTGAAAATTTATTAAAGATCATTTAATAATATACTATGATTTGAATTATTTATTTATTATCTAATTTGGTATATGCCTGTTAGGGATGGTCATCCACGAATTCTTCTTTCTAAAGTGATGACTTCTGGCTATAAGGTAAATAATTTGATTTTATTATGTTATATTGAACTATAATTTAACTATTGCATGCTTTATCAAGCGCATACGACTATATGCCACAAAACACCTTGGTGTAATCCTACGAACATCAGTCCAAAAATTTAATGAATGGGCAATACAACTACTAATAACACAGGTTAGTATAATAAACTATTACGCTTAATTGAAAAATTTTTAAAGACTAATAAATAAATAAAATTATAGCTGTATGATCCTGCTATGGAAGTCTGTCAAATGGCAGTACGTGTTTTGGAAGAAATTTGTAATCACAAAGAGAACATAGAGTTGCTTGTGAAATTGCGGCCTAGCTTAGACAATTTGGGAGAAGTTGGAAATCCACTATTGTTGAGGTTTTTGTCTACTTCAATCGGATTTAAATATCTATCAGAATCCGCTTACGTGGAAAAAGAGATGGATGATTGGTTTCAGGTTTGTTATAGTTAGAACGAAATAAAAATAATATTGTTATCAGTGAAGATTTTACTAATCTTGCTAGTTTATGTGGAAGTGTAGAGTGGTAATCAATATTATGTGACGCAACTTGAAGTATCTTTATCGAATGCGCTAAGACTTGATGGAGAGGAAGCGCGAGGTGATGATGATGACAAAGACGTAAAAATGTGTGTTAATTTAATTATTTATGAAATTATATCTGAATGGGCTTTTGATAAGGTTTACTTATTTATACGTGCATGACAGAAGCATGTTTGATGGAATATCTCCTGCCCATTTTTATGGTGAATTAACAAAAACAGATGAAGGGTGCCAGCTGTTAAGAGAGAAGGGGCATTTTCGTGATTTCGTAAACTATATAAGAAAACATGAAATGGAAAGACGTGATACAAATATTATTTCGAAATTGAAGTCGATTCTCTGGGCTGTTGTGAGTTACAATTCTTGTACAAAAGGGTTCTAGTAATTGGTTAAAAGCAATATTTTTCATATATACCTTATTGTTTTAAGGGCAACATTGGGGCATCTAAGAGTGGACTACAATTTTTGGAGGAGGAAGATATTGTTAAAAATATTGTACATATTGCCGAAAATTCTGAAGTTCTTTCATTGAAAGGGTTAGTCTTCATTTAAAAATGGGAAAATGAATAGAAAAGGGATAATCATTTTTAACGTTTTTTTCTTTTTTTAAACCACCAAACCAATCTTGATAAATTTTTTGATTTTATAAATATATAGAATTAAAATGAAAGCTTTTTACCAAAATTGGTTTGGATATGGTTGAGATGTTGTAATTAGTGCTACAAATCGCCAAAAATTTTGCAATCGATTAGTTGTCAACTTTTCGATTATTCGATTTATATTCGATTTTTGTCCGATTTTTATTCGATTTTAATGAGTTTCAAAAATTTTTCAATCGATTAGTTGTCAACTTTTCGATTAGTTGCGATTTTCGATTTGTAGCACTAGTTGTAATTTAAAATTTTTACATAGAAAGAATTTGTCCCTTTTCTATTGACTCACCCACATTTTTATCATATTGATACATCAAATATTCATTATCTATATTTATTTAGAACGTGTTTTTTTGTATTGGGCTTAATTGCTAAAACTGCACCTGGTGTTGAAATCTTGGAAGAATTAGAATGGGAATGTGCATATGATCTAGAGACAGGTGCATGTACTGGCTTTTGTTGTCCCATGAACTCTAAAGCATTTCTTTCGGTAAGTCTAGGTAGATTGTTTTTATATTGAAATTGATATCCTAATTTGTAAAAATTTTAAACATTCTAGTTTCCACAATGGACCTACAAAGGTTTTGAGATAGCACCACCTGATAAACATGCTAATCCCATACTTCCAAGCACTCAAGCAGAAAGAGATTTGTTGAAAGCTATGACCAATTTAACAAATAGAATATTATCGAGCACCGGATCTAAAAGTTTGTTAAAGTATGTTGTTTATTTATCAAATGCTTAAGGTGATTTATATTGTGATTATTGTGATTAAAATATGATACTTATTATAATAGGATAAGATCACAGCACCCAGAAATCTTCAACCAACTAAGTACTTATCACAAAGTAATCCAAATGCTATCATCATATCACTATCGTTTACCAACGCGACGTATTATTAGCGAATTATTTGATATAAATTTCACAAAAGAAACACTTGATCAACTCGATATACTTATGGAAGTACATCATGGTTATGATGGAGTTAATGGAGTTTCTGACGATACAATAACAGAAGATGGTGGTGGCACTGAAGATGCAGATGCACAACTACATAAGCAAAGGATGGAAAATTTTAATAGGGTGCATCGTGGTAGCGATGGTGTTATTGCTGTTATGTCAGACGATCAAATGGATGGATGTGCAGAAGAAGTTGTTCCGAAACAAGATTTGTTACCTGCTAAAATTGTCAAAGGATTTAATACTACGTGAACATTTATTTATTTTGGTTGTAAGCCATATTTTTTATAAAATTGTGAATTTTTGTATAGTATTTATTATTTTAGTTATATGAATCAGTTTTGGACTTTTATATTTCGTTGAGTCGTCTTGTTGTGGTACATGAAAACCGTTGCCAGATTTGTAAGACAAACGATTCTATTTATATATATACCATAGATTATTATTTTTGATGGCTCGATTATTACAATTTTTATTTGTTCGATTGTAGTAACGCATATATTTGCTATCATACTGTAACATATTAAAATATATCACGATCTTGGTTCTTTTAAAAATATACACCGATACATGTGTTGGGCCTGGACATCGAACATTGGATCACTTTGTCTAGTCCAATTCAATTTATTGGACTGGAAAGCATTGGATATTGAACATTGTCCAATTTATAATAAAGATATCACAACAATTGATTAAATTTTACAAATATTCAAAATTTAAATATGTAAAAAAAAATTTATTTTTATAATTTAAAAAAAAATTTAAAATATTTAGAATTTAAAAATTTGGATTAGCTTTATTATTGTCTAGTGCAAAAAGGTAGATACACCAAAACTAAGTTATTTTGTCTATATATAAAAGTTTTTCAATTTCAACTATTTATTTATAATTTTTTTATAACAAATAAATTTTATTATAAATTTTTTAGAAAGCCTAATTTGTAAAAAAAAAAAAATATATATATTTTTAAAAAGAAATATAATCAAAATAACCTATGATGATTATCACCACTTTTAGATATATTTAGAGTTAGGGTTAGAAATTAGAGAATTATTATTTTTTTATATAATATAATATAAAGCTACTATAAGGGCCCAATAGGCCCGATCTTGGTTTTTGTAAGGTTTTTGAAGGTTTTGAACATTTTTACTTAGAAATCCTGATCCTATTTACTTAGTATATTTTTTGAAATATAAGCATTCTGGTGATGATTACCACTGGTTATAGTTAGATTTATTCTTTTAAAAAAATTATATTTTTACTATCAATATACAATTTTATAAGCTTGCACTATGCAAGTGTATTGCCATCATCAGGAAATTTTTTTTATTGCAGTTCTGCACAGATTTGCAAAAAAATTAAATAATAAATCAAATGAAAATCTGTGCAAAACTTCAAATTTGATACTATAAATACAGAAATTAGATGGAGTTTTGTGCAAACCTTCAAATTCTAAAGAATTTTGCAGATTTTTTACAACAATTCTTCAAAAATCTGCAAAAATACAAATTTTTATAAATGTGCACTTATTTAATTTTCCCAATGATGTATATGCTAAATATATAGTTAAAATTTTAGCTTAATTGAATTAGTAGTTGTTAAAATATAAATAAAAACTATATATATAATTTACTATAATAAAGCTATACAAATTGTTATATACTATAGTAATTTTATATATAGTTAAAGTACAAGACAAGCTAGGTTGGGCTAGGCCTGCTTAGGCCTAAAACTAAGCCTGAAAATTATTTGTAAATCCTGTAAAAAAAAAAAAGCCTGTAAAATAAACTGTATATTTATACAAAATTTTTGTATTACTAAAATTTTAGCTATTCCTCTGATTCAGTAGTGATAAAATTTTAACTTTGGTATAATTAGTACTATCTTGGATTAATTATAATAAATTCAGAAATATCAAGAAAGTGAAAAAGGAGAATTTGCAATTTATATTATACACTTTGGGGAAATAGAATCAAATAAAAATGAGTAACATTAGCAAAAAAAAATAGACCAATATATATCAATAACTAACTAGATAAATATATATCAATATTAATCACTCTTGCTAATACCAATCAATACAGATAGTAATCGATATATAGCATATATTCAATAAGTAGCAATACAGTAAATAATTGATATATAGCAGATTCAATATATGGGGGTGAGTCAATAGAAATCAAGCAAATTTTTTATAATAAATTTTTTTTCTAACTTTAAACAAGAATAA